TTGGAGGAGACTGAGGGGTGACCTTATTAGTTTATATAAATATATAAAGGGGGAGTGTCATGAGGATGGAGCCAGGCTCTACTCAGTGGCAAACAATGATAGGACAAGGGGTAATGGGTACAAACTGGAACACAAGAGGTTCCACTTAAACTTGAGAAGAAACTTCTTCTCAGTGAGGGTGACGGAACACTGTAACAGGCTGCCCAGGGAGGTTGTGGAGTCTCCTTCCCTGGAGACATTCAAAACCCGCCTGGACGCATTCCTGTGTAACATTATCTAGGTGTTCCTGCTCCGGCAGGGGGATTGGACAAGATGATCTTTCGAGGTCCCTTCCAATATCTAGCATACTGTGATACTGTGATACTGTGATACTACAGGAAAATGCCCAGATTTACCAGAAAAGTGCTAGTCTACAAATCCATGACTTAGTGCTATAATTCCTCAAACATAGGTTTTTTTGACAATTCAATGAGAAGGGCCAATACAACATGGGAATTGCTTTTCCAAGTTTAAATACTCGCAGCTGACTAAAGCAATGCTACTTTGGACCAAAGAACAACACTCCTGCAGGAACACAGACCTAACCAAATGATCTTCGAAGCAGAAGGGAAGACTAGTCACACCCTGAGGCACTAGTAATTGTAATGCAATAGTATTTCTTTCTATAGCAGTTGATACATGCAGCAGACACATGTATTTGCATTCAGTATATATTCTTACACCCTTTCGGCCCACTTCTTAAAAATATGAGAAGCATTTAGTCATCTTGTTTTAGCTTTTAAACATCAAGGCTACTACAGCTCAATGAACTGTCACCAATTAGATGAAATATTTTTCTGCACTCCGTCAATATTCAGTATTTTTTTCACCTGGACAGAGTAAAACACACACTACATGTTCACACAGGTATGTCTACAACTTAACCACAGAAGAAACATTCCAAAGACTGCAAAGTTGCACAGAAGTAAGCCAGTATTCTGGTGTCATTATAAAAGAAAAGAAGACTAAGATTCTGTAATGTTAATTATAAAAACTTATTAAAAAATACTTTTATTACCCACCTTAACAGCTTCAGGTGGCAACCAGAACATAACAAAAATACATATCATTGACACATCAACTTAATATAGGAGAACTTACTTCCATAGGCAATGAACTAGGCTATCAAATGAGCAGCAGAAGGCAACTAATCTGCACTGCAAAATGCTAGCAATTTCTGCTTATATTCAACCATACTATTTTAATTCATTTTAATTTAGTTCAGCTAACACAGAAATGCAACTAAAAGCAAAAGAACAATGGACTACTGAAATTAGAATAAATTTTAAAGGAAGATGTTTTCTCCTTCCTTTAGAATTCAATAGACCATCAGCTTCAGAAATCAAAACAAAGGATTTTTTATCTTCAGGCTACAATTCCCTAATCTGAATTTAGGATTGCTAAAGACTCACTGCAGGATGCTGTTAAGGGCAAAGGCCAATGGTGGAGAAAGTGAAGTATCAAAATTATTGTAGTGTAACAAGCATGGGAAAAGATACAGAAGGAGGACATAAGGGGCTGTTGTGAATTAACATGCTGCTGGTCAGCACACTTAGCTAGCTGAAAGTGCAGCTGCTGACCTCCTCCAGATCCTCCAGTCCACTAGGCTCAACTAACATTACCAATAAGAATCTGGGGTTTTGGTAAGTTATTAGGAAACAAAATATTTCTGAATTAATGTTCACATTATTTGGCATCTTGAAAACCATGCGGTTAGTACACCTGCACATTCCTGGTAATTGGTTTGTTATAAGAAACTGCGCAGCAAGGTGTTTTAGCTAAGCACTGCTCTAGCACACATCCCTAAAATACAGTTTTAGAAACGTTTTCAGTGTGGCACTAGAATTCTTGTATATATATATATATACACACACATATATATATGTGTGTATATATATATATCTGCAAAATTCACCCATCACTTATTATGGTTATTATAAAGCAGGATTGCCAATACATTCTCTTCTTACGCTGTACAATCTGGTTCAGGTAAAGGACAGGCAAAAGCATGGTCAAACTCTGAACTGGTTTTAGGAACAGAAAAGGAAATCAGTTTTATTTACTGTTACCCTATTGCTGTTCATTCTCACAAAATTTTCCCTTCTACACCCAACTTTTGGGATTTCTCCAACAGTATCAATAAATTCAATGAGGCTGACTTGCAATCTTCCTAACCAAGCTAGAAAAAAACTAGCAGAAATTTGTCAAGGAAATACTTTTTCTTTATGAGTCATGCAGACTGAACAGATTTAGATAAAGGTTTACATCAAGCTCACAATTTTGGATGGGTTTATTCACTTTATTTATAACTCCAGCTGAATTTACACTTTGATACATTTTGACACACTCTGAATACCTTCCACAATCAATAATAATGTTGCTTACTGTCATGTAAAGTCATAAAGTACATTAATCAGAAGACACATCTTGTATCCTGGTAGAGGATATACTTCTTTGAACCAAACTTTGATGCTGCTTCATAATTGTCATTTACCCTTCACTGTGATTTGAATTCATCTATCTAGCAGTGCACGAAGCTGTTCAAGAGTTTCTTGCCAGCAAGAGCTCATTACAAGTTCAGGAAATCCAACAGAATCTTTTTCTGTTTGTCCATGCCCTCTGCATGCAGTTCCCAATTCATGGATAATGTTACACAATTGCTGGCTCAGTTATTCTATTAGTTGCAAAAGAAACAAAAAGCAAATATTTTAAGGTAAGAATCACTGCAACGAGGTGCTGAACATTTTAATGGATGAAACATAGGCAGATGTCACACTTCTTACAAAGCCATATATGTCTGCTGGAAATCCTAGAAAATATCACTTCCTTACTAATTTATTTTGAAAAATTTGCCCATATACACATGTAATGTCATAAATTCATAAATCTGCTGATTTCAAGTTTATTGTTAACAAGGTCAGAAGAGGTGTGTGACCCACCAGAAATACATGACAATGAATTTTATCTTAACAGTGACAGCGTTGGGAATATGAAAATCATGGGCTTTAGATATATCTGGTTTTGTGTATATTATGTCATCTCTTAAAAAATATAAGTTAGGCATTGCTTCATTCCCCATACTCCAGTTCCAAATGGGGACAGTTATCTCAAGCAAAATACCGATTATGCTGCTCCATTAACAAAACCAGGCATGCAGAGCTAAATCAAGCAAATGTCTGCAATGCACTTCATTCTGCTATGTGAATCTACGCTGTTAGAAAGGACATAGGACATTTTAAAGGATTGATGCATTTTAGGGAAGGAATCATGACTTACATGCAAAGTCTGTATTTTTTCTTACATTGGCTAACTACTAAATTATTAATGAAATAACGTTTTTTCTTTGAGTAGGTTCTACAGTTGACTGCGTATCTGTACCATTTTCACTTACAAATCTTCATGGAATAGACAATTTTAATCCTAACAGGGGATCCACTTTTGTCAAGATACAGAGATTCTCCTGAAGCAAGTCACTCTCTTATGAGGTTGTAGTCTAAAGCAACGTTTCTTAATCCAATGGGAAAACATACCTTTTAGTAACAAACAAATGTTAAATCCTAAAAATTGGATAAGCCAAAGCATGAGAGGATCAAGGAGTTCTCAGGGTGAATGTGAGTATTTCTGTATAAATCTAGCTGATCTGATTGTGGAAAAATGTGTGGAACCCACTGAAGACCTTTTGCAAAGTGACCATTGGTATTTGAATCACCAGAGTATCTATAACATGGAATTTAACATGGAATATAACACAATTTTTAGTGTGAAATTTCGAAAATACATTGGTTTAATATGAAGATATCACAGTAGGCCAACCTTATCACATATGAAATGTTCTCGGAGTACAAAGATAATGCAAGATTTTTCAGCAATAGGGTCTAGGGGTTTTGTATCTTTGGAAAGAATCTGGAGAGCATTTCTATTGCTCTTATACAATACCTTGTTTTTCTAACATCCTCATGAAGTGTATGCTGAGTCAAGTTCTCTGGCAACCAGAATAAAACCTAACCATTGTTCCTTAAACTACAAACCATCCTGCAATTCCCCCAGATTGTGTCAGCAAGGCAGTCACTGAAACTGGGGGAAGGGTAGGGGGGGATGTGCTAGCAGCCACCACTGTCTTCACCTCTGGCACCAAAGTCACTCTAACACAGAGTGTCCTGGGTTCAGCAGTAGCAGTCATTTTTCTCATTCTTAGTAGCGGGTGCAGCGCTGTGTTTTGACTTTTGGCCTGGGAACAGACCTGATAACACTGTTCTAGTCTGGCCAAGGACTTTGTGAGCCTCATGCTCTGCCAGGGAGGAGGGGAAGCCGGGAGGATGCGGAGACAGGACACCTGACCCAAACAGACCAAAGAAGTATTCCATACCACATGCCCAGGACGTAACAGAGAGATATCCGGAAGGGCCAGGGCACTGTGGTGTTGGACAAGGTATCGGTTGGTGCTTGGTCAGGCTGGGGGGGTTGAGTTATCGGTCGGCTGGTAATGAGGTGTTGCATTCTTTCCCCTTGTTATTTCCCTTATCATTATTATTACTGGTGGTAGCAGTAGTGATTTGTGTTATACCTTAGTTACTAAACTGTTCTTATCTCAACCTGTGGGAGTTGCATTCTTTTCGATTCTCCTCTCCTTCCCTCCAGGAGTAGGGGGAGGGCAAGAAAGGGGGGAGTGAGCGAACAAGCTGTCTGGCTGGGTTAAAACCATGACACAGAGCCAAAAGCAAACAGATGTTCTTGGTTTAGCTCATATTCTTTGCACACCTGGCAAGTACAGTAAAAGCTGCATTTTAATGTGGTGTTTAATATTAATGAAATGGGAAAGATGATGCACTCATTGTTAAACAAACAGAAAGAAACCCTGAGCAACAAGTCAATAAAAACAACAATTAAGAAGCCCAAAGGTTTATATTCTTACTCTCCCTCCGTAAGTCATGACAATAGCATGCAAAGCAAATATGCCTTACCAAGTTCTGTTACGTAGTTTTTTCCTTCTGAAGGTAAAGGAATGTACTGATTAGAAAAGAAACTGCTTCCATAACCCAGGACAAAACCTTCTAGTCTGGTGTTTTGACTTGCTCGAAGATACCTCATGCAAATGGTGTCATCTGTTGCATTGATCTGAACTTTTAGACTCTGCCTTTTCACTGGGGAAGAAGTGAAAAAGAGAGAAGATCAGAATGTATTATCTTGTAATCATATAATTAGTAACGGACTATGACAATATAATAATATAGGTCTGTTTAATTTGCTAGTTGCAAGAGACTGAACAATTGCTTAAACATGGATTCTTCTGGAAGCTCAGTGTATTTTAAAAAAAGAAGCTAATAGTCATGCAAAATCGTGGTTTCCAATACTTTCATTAGCTTAGTATTATCATTAGGTGCAACATATTTTACAACTGCAGTAGAAAAGGAGAAGTGCATGAAGTAACTGGAAAAAAAATACAAGTATTTTTTCCTTTAAATCTTTAAATGCGAGACTTACAGTAAACCTAGCCAGTCACAGGAGCCATAGGTAAAAAAAATTTCAAGTTTTTTTCTTGTTAGTAAAAACCATAGATTTTTAACATAAAGCTAATCACACAGCCAAATTAGGGAAGAGGATAAGTAGTAACTATATCTAAATTAAAATGCTACAATTTTTTTTTTTCCTCCCACATTGGGCTGAAATGTAATTTTCTAGTTGGAATTACAGCAGGACACCTCACTAGCATATATAGGTTACTCAAAATTACCAAGAAACCTTTTTTCTTAGAACAACACAGAATGACTTCATAACAGACTAAACAATTTTTTTTAGGCTACAAGAAGGTGTTTTGTCTTGCCTTGGTGGGGTGAGGGAGGATGGTATTTTCATTCCTTGTACATACAATTTTAATATTACCTTGTCTCCTGGGTTTGGCAGTTGTCACTGTTAAGCTTATCATATTTTCAGAATATGAGAAACTGTTAAATGTCAATGATAAAAGAAGTAATGACTTTCCCCAAAACTTATGACACTAGCACTAGAATTATATGTTTTGGGTTATTATTTCCCTTCTCATTCTCAAAATACAGATTTTTATTCCCAACAGATTTTCAAGCATCTCTCCAATCATGAGAGCTGAAATTAAGTTTTCAGAAAAAAAACAGAAATTTGCACAAAATCATTTTACTTCAGGAGCTAAATCCTGAAGAAGAACAATGAGATGTATGATCTGTCATTACTTAACAAGGAGAGTGATGTTGAACTTCTTTGTCATTCCTGTCCCTCACTCTAAACCCTTCTTTCCTTTTTTTTTCTCTCTCTGTAATTGCATACTGATATTCAAAATTTCTCTAGACAAGTACATATTCACTGTCTGGTATCACCCCATAACCTCTCTTGTTTTCTTTTGGAGAAATTATAATGACAGGAGTTGCCAAGAGGCCACAATCCCCGGTTTGTGAAAGTGATTTAGTAGTACTGTTGATCGCCTGCAGTTGGCTGCATGCCAAATATAAAGATCCACGCCAAACATTTTATGCCTCTTCCCTTTATAGAAAGAAGCATACAAGTAAAACTGATGGAAAACACGTGCCTCTGAGGAGATCCGTCTTTTATCTAAAGACTGATCAAGCAAAAGCACTCAGCCAGGAAAAAGTCACGGTTTTCCAAAGGCAAATCTGCCAGGTTCCAGAAGACTGAAAGACTTCTATAAAACTCAACTCTCTGACATTTTCAGCAATACAATACCATCACAGGGAAAGGTGTGGCAGTTGCCTTGTTATCTGGGAGACATCCTCACTTCTTTTATATTCAGTATATGGAGCTGCTGTGGGTATGCAACTTTGGATATCAAGAAGTTTCCAAATAGCAAAAAAACAGGAAGCCCAAGACTTCAAAACCCCTTAATATACTTCATAAAGATGCCTAGTAAAAAGTGTTCCATGCCAAAAAAGTTTAAGATATTATTCTTGATTGACAGTGAACTAGATTTGTTAAAATTACATAGTCTGCAAAACTCCAACCTAACTTTGGAGAGATGAGTATAAATGAAAAGATGGTCTCCTGGTTCCACTGAATATACATGTCTAAGAACAGAGCAAGACTTACAGTACTCGATTCAAATATGATAATTCTATTCCTGTATTAAAACTCTTAAAACTGGATTTTTGAAAAAATATTTAAATTTAGAAAAAATTCAAGAGTTTGTTTTTGTTTTGCTTGGGGTTTTTTAACACAATTGTTGCTATATACCTCAGTTTTACTTTACATTAATTTGAAGACTTAATTCTAATTCAAGATTGAATTCAAGTGGGTTTGATTCCAATTAGATTGATACTGTGTTTTATTCATAAGTAGTCAATTCAAATTACAAGATGTCTTGATGTTTTTTAAGCCGTGAATTAAGCTCTCCGTGAATTTTCTGAAACCAGAAATGGGATTTAAATGGGATCCCAATACAGCAATAGCTTTGAGGTAGGATACTTTAGATCTTTTCTTTGTAGCTAGCATATCAAAAACACAAGACAGCTTTTAAACTCGAAGCCAGTTCTAGCAGAATAAAAATAGGAATAATGTATTTTTAAGAATAGAGAATAAGGCAAAAGAAAAGGAGATTAACTTCAAATATAAAACATAAATCCTTGTCCTCCCCAACTTGTCTTGACATGGCAGTTTTTTTTCCTCTACTTCGCTGTTAAGTACAGGATGTTTTCAGTGGATTTGTGGCCTGGATGGCCAAAAATAGTGCAGGGTCCCCTACAGTTCTTAGGAAAAAAAGATCATATAGTCACAGAATCATCAAGGTTGGAAAGACCTATAGATTGTATATAAGGAAAAAGTTCTTTACAGTAGCGGTGTTGAGGCAGTGGAATGGGTTGCCCAGGGAAGCTATGAATGCTTCATCCCTGGCTTTGCTCAAGGCTAGCTTGGACAGCGCCTTGGGTGACATGGTTTAGTGTGAGGTGTCCCTGCCCATGGCAGGGGGGGTGGAACTAGATGATCTTAAGGTCCTTTCCAACCCTAACTATTCTATGATTCTATGAATTAGTGGGATGGTGATAACTAAAGCAACATAAAGCTTCCAAAAACAACAGCAAGGATAAAAAGGGGGAAAAAAAAAAAAAAGAAAAAAATAATTACAACTAAATAAAGTCATCTTATCAATTTTATCCAGTGCTGTTTCTAATAAGGAAGGATCTGTAGTAATTTTGGGCATGGATATTTCCAACTCGGTATATCTCCAGCTGCATTGGTGTTATAGTGGTTAGCATAGGTGCTTACGGCCACACACCCTGCCACTCACGACTGTCCAGCCTTGGGGAAAATCTCTTGGTACTCCTGTATCGTCGTCTAACCCTAGACAAGACCCAAACCTGACTGATTAACTTTCGAGATCAGACAAAATAGTAGTGGGTAAAACACACTCTGTATGTGTGCCAACATGGTGATCCCCATCACAATCAGCAGGCAGGTCTCAAGGGTACCCAAAGGCCATTCAAAACCTTCTGAACTCTCAAAGGATGCTGTACATGGTCTGGGGGGGGGGGGGGGGGGGGGTTGGGGGTGCACTGGGAAGGTAAAGGAATGTCTCCTTCACAGGTTGACCATCCGAGGAGGGGAAAAAAGATGTGTAATTGCTAAACACTTCTGTTATATACCTCCTGAAGTACAGAGGTGGTGACCACAATGGGAACGCAAGCCAAATATGAGACAAGAGTGATGGCATATTTAAAATGTGAGATGTCAGCATGACATGAATGGTATGGAATAAGGGGTGGATACTGTCCCGGGTTAAGCAGTAGTAGTCATTTTTCTCCTTCTTAGTAGCTGGTGCAGTGCTGTGTTTTTGACTTTCAGTCTGGGAACAACGCTGATAACACCAATGTTTTTAGTTGCTGCTTAGTAATGTTTACTCTGACCAAGGACTTTCTGATTCTCATGCTCTGCCAGGGAAGGAAGAGGGGAAGCCAGGAGGAAGGAGAAACAGGACACCTGACCCAAACTGACCAAGGAGGTATTCCATACCACAAGCACGTCATGCCCACTATATAAAATGGGGGTAGTTACCCAGAAGGGTTAGATCACTGCTCGGGTAGGGCTGGGTATCAGTGGTGAGCAGTTGTATTCTCTTCCCTTGTTATTTCCTTTATCATTAATATTATTGGTGGCAGCAGTAGTGGTTTGTGTTATACCTTGGTTACTGGGCTGTTCTTATCTCAACCCGTGGGAGTTACATTCTTTCGATTCTCCTCCCCATCCTTCCAGGAGCGGGGGAGGAGGAAGTGGGGGAGGAGTGAGAGAGCAGCTGTGTGGTTCTGGGTTGCCGGCTGGGCTTAAACCATGACACCAAGGTAAGAGAGGCCATTACGCTGAATCACCTTCTCTCTTCTACCACTAGTGCTACAACAAAGGTTCTCTATTGAAGTTAGAAGAATCCAAGTTTACTGGGAATCATAGCTGTTGAGTGAGAGCACTTGGGATCCAGAGAGTGAAAGGCTACATAGGAGACAAAACCAAAGAACAATGAGGACAGAAGGAAGCCAGCAAGCACAGGAAGTGCTGTCTGTTGTGGCAGACCTACCACTGCACAGTAGTGGACTCTTTGTAGGGAATACAAACTGTCTATGGATTCTTTGCATGGAATAACATCTCTCCCCAAATCAGGTCAGTGTGCTACATAGTCACAAATCCAGATCTTCATCCTGTCAAAAGATCAGTACTCCAACATCTTCCCAGAAGCCCTTGCACTCTTATAGCACCCCACTTTTGTGCCCACGTACACACAGTATACTTCTTAGCAACACGCTATAAAAATACAAACACAAAAGGATGTGAATCAACCCTCTTTTTTTTACAGATGAGTACATTATAAATAAATAGTTCTTAAAAAATAAAAAAAACAGTTAAAATGTTCCAGACTCAAGGAGGTCACATGATCACATGAGTTCAAAGGAGACCTGGACCCTTATCAACAAATTCAAGCATTTCCCAAGTCTAAAAGGAAAAGACAGTTTTGTGCAGGAGACTGTAACTCCACTATGTTGGTCTGAATTAAAAACAAACAAAAAAGCTCCAATGAAAACATAAGAAATTGCAACTCATGTTAAGACCTATGAGGAAGGCCCACATGGTCTCTCATAATTGCTGGAGCAATCAAGAGGAGTACACAGTAGCAGAG